GTCTGCACAGAGTCTCTCATATTCTCACTTTCCTTTCAAAATTACGACAAATTCTTTTAGACATTTGGGTGTGGTGGTGACAAGAAGTATAGCTGGTCTGTTTGCTGCAAACTTCAAACCGCTGCTTGAACGCACTATTCAAGATCTGGAGAGGTGGTCCCATCTTCATATCACTCTGGCAGGTAGAACCAATGCTATAAAAATGAACATCCTTCCAAAATTTCTGTTTTTATTTCAAACTATCCCAATAGTAATACGGAGGTCCTTTTTCATGACCCTTGACAAAATCATTTCTAATTTCATATGGAATAAGAAGAGACCTAGAATTAGGAAAGCTTATATACAGCGACCAAACTGGGTGGAGGGATGGGACTACCTAATTTTCAGCTTTATTATTGGTCGTGTAATATTCGCACTCTCTCATTTTGGGCTCAGTTTGATAAGTAGGACGAGAATCCATTTTGGGTACAGATGGAACATAATTCCTGTGGTTTGACATCTTTGACTGCTCTCTTGTTTTCTCCAATGCCTTTGTCAATGCACTGTGTTAGGAGTAACCCCATTGTAACCCAATCCCTGAAAATATGGTCTGGTGTGAGAAAACAGTATGGTTGGCACAGTGGTTCCCTACTCGCTCCTGTCTATCCAAGCCACCTTTTCTCCCCGTCTGTTATGGATGATTCTTTTGATATTTGGAAACGTAATGGCATAATCAATATGAAGGCTCTATTCATAGATAAAATATTTCCCACCTTTTCACAATTGCAGAGGAAATTTAATTTACCACAGTCACACCTTTTCAAATTCTTTCAGATTCGTAGTTATGTTAAAACAAACACACCCTCCTATCCCAATCAGTCTGAGGAGTCCCCTTTGGAAACCTTATTTTCCTTCAAACCCTCAAAGAGGGGTGCTATTTCCTTCGTTTATAATCTCTTATCCAATCAACAAAACCTATCATTAGAACTTATAAAGTCTGCATGGGAGGGTGATCCTGACAGCAGAGCAATGGAAAAGAGCCCAAGAGGGAGTGCAGACAGCCTCAATCTGTGCCCGACATGGCCTCATCCAATTTGAGGTACTGCATCGCCTTCACTTTTCCAAGGTTAGACTCTCGAGAATGTTCCCGAGTGTGGACCCATTGTGTGATAGATGCGGGCTCTCACCAGGCTCTCTGGCACACTCTTTCTGGCTTTGTCCTTACTTACACACCTACTGGAGCTCGATTTTCAACACACTATCAGAAGTTTTCAAAATGGTGGTACAGCCTGAGCTGGACTCAGTGGCTGAGGGAAATCTTACAGCTTCTTAAACTTGAAAAGTTGAGATACACAGTATGTGGATCCTCAGATAACTTTGAGAAAATTTGGAAGCCATTCATGGACTACATTAAAAATAAGCTTTAATTCCCCTTGTTTCTTAATGCACCCCAGATGTAATGGACTTCTACCACTTCACATCATGTACACATTTGCCACATAGCTCATCATAATGTACTAATCTTTTTCGTTTTACGCAACTGCAATATGTAATTGTCTGTTTGTTTGTTTGTTTTTTTTTGTTATGTTTTTGTTTTTTTGCTTGTTGTTTTTCTTATTGTTACCATGTCTATTTTTGTATGTTTTTCGTGCCCAGTCTCTTTATGTTGAACTGTTAACTTCTTTTGAAAAAACCAATAAAAACATTAAAAAAAAATAAATAAATAAAAAATAAAAAATAGGGGATAATGGAAATAATGAGTGTCAAAGCACACTAAACTGTATAATAACATGTTCATGAGTGTTAATTTACCACAAAATAAAAAGAAATGTGTATTTGTGTATTTAAGCAAAAATAATACAAACAAGTCTAGTATATAGCTTCCTGTCTAGTGTCAGCTGGTTTCAGCCCTTTCTCTGTTTGATTCTCTCATACTCTTTATGCTCACATACAGCATTTTAATACAGCTGAATTTCCAATAAAGCTTGTTCTCATTTAAATTTTTGTGTCTGTTGTCCAACAACAGAACAAGTATGAAATAGTGAGTGAAATGCAGCAACCCAGCACTAACCTCCAAGCCATTTCCAAGCTGCTGCTTTGCACTGCTAAAATCCTAATTTTATAACCACAACGTGATCTGACAAAATCACTATACACATACAGATAATGGCTGAACTGTGATTTCAGCAATATTAACTTGTAAAAATGTGCAAAAGGGATCTGAAAAGTTAGTAAATCTAGCAACAAATGTGCTAAATTGGCACTGCTGCTTACTGCTTCTTCCCCCTAAATTGTTTTGAAAGCACAACAACCACATGAGAAACTCCAACACTCAGCTGGCTGACCAATGGTGTAACTTGATCTGCTGTTGCAGTACACCCAACAATTCTCAGACATACTGAGTTTGCTATTCACAAGAATCTCTCTCTCAAATTAAATCGAAGGCAACTGGACTTGTATTTGTCTGTGGAAGACGTTTCGCCTCTTATCCAAGCAGCTTCATCAGTTCTTATGTATTGGTCTCTCTAGTCCGCACTAGTCTGACCAAGAAAGTGGAGTAGGACCCAGGTATTTAACCTCTTGTGGGTGGGTCCACCAAAGTACCTGTGAAAGTACTGGTTTCACCTGACCATTGTTGTGGTCTCATGTGGACGACCGTCATTAGGGTCAGGTGACCCTGTTGTTATCCCGTGTGAACGACAGTCGTTAGGGTCAGGTGAGCCCCTGGTGGATGACGATCGTTGAGAGTCGTCTGAGGTTATGTTGTTGACTCTCCTGGGTACCGATGAAAGGGCGACATTGTAGATGGGGGATAGATGGTGTCGCAGACCCCCTCCCCTGTTTAGCGATGGCCTCTCCACTTTTACATAGATGGCTTCCTTGACTCCCCTTTCAAACCATCTGTCCTCCCTGTCCAAGATTTTGACATTGCTGTCTTCAAAGGAGTGTGCCTTTTCCTTTAGGTGGGAGTAGACAGCTGAGACAGGGCCTGAAGAGTTTGCCCTTCTGTGTTGGGCCATACGTTTGTTTAAAGGTTGTTTAGTTTCCCCAATATATAGGTCATTGCATTCCTCACTGCATTTGACCGCATATATCAGGTTGCTTTTCTGATTGTGTGGTGTTTTGTCTTTGGGATGTACCAGTTTCTGCCTGAGCGTGTTAGTGGGTTTGAAACATACAGGGATTTGATGTTTGTTAAAAATCCTCCTGAGTTTCTCTGAGACCCCAGACACGTATGGAATGACGATGTTTCTGCGTTTATCTTTCATTTTCTCAGCATCCTCCGTGTTGGTATTCTTTCTGGAGCGTGTTGTTGTTTTGCCAAAAGTCCAACTCGGATAGCCACAAGTTTTCAGAGCTCCCTTTAGATGTTTATGTTCTTCTGCTTGGGCCCGAGTGGAGGTTGGTATGTTGTCAGCCCTGTGTTGCAGGGTTCTGATAACACCCATTTTGTGCTCCAATGGATGATGTGAGTCAAAGAGTAGGTATTGGTCTGTGTGCGTGGGCTTCCTGTATACTCCAATGTGGAGGCTCCTGTCCCCAGCAAGGTGGACATCACAGTCAAGGAAAGGTAGGTGGTTGTCTTTGACATCCTCTCTTGTGAATTTGATGTTCTTGTCCACTGAGTTGATGTGTTGGGTAAAGGCTTGTAGATCTTGTGTTTTAATCTTTACCCATGTGTCATCCACATACCTAAACCAGTGGCTTGGTGGAGTTCCCTTGAAGGAGTTGAGGGCCTTTCGCTCTACCATTTCCATGTATAGATTGGCCACAATGGGGGACACAGGTGAGCCCATAGCACAGCCGTGCTTTTGTCTGTAGAAGTTGCCGTTAAACTGGAAATATGTGGTTGTGAGGCATAAATCCAGTAACTGGCAAATCTGGTCTGGTTTGAGGTTTGTTCTGTCATGTAGTGGTGTGTGATCTTGTTTCAAGTGATTCCTCACAGTTGGTAGATGGTAGAATGACTCCCAACAGTCCAACTATGATATTTAAGGCTGAAGCCATCTTTCATGTGAGACACAAAAATAATATGCAGTGATGCTGGACTAACCCACTTCCTACAAATTGCTTTGTGTTTCCAGTTTCTATTGACATAAACTGTAAATAATTATTTTTGAAAATTAAATTAGTGATAATGAACAGCTGTAGCAAGTGTCATTCCTGCATACCAAGTGATGTCACTCTCATGGTGAATGACTTGGGAAAGATGATATTTATGATCGTAGGATGATGAGTGTGAGAGCACCCAGGGAGAGTGATAGTATGGATCTTCCACAAGAAAAGTATGGATGTTTTATATACCACATGCTTACTGGATCACGTTTTCTGCACTGCTCTAATTTAGAAGCTCTTGTCTTCTCATGTTTACACTCGAAGCAGCAGGATGGGTATGAAATAAATTTCCCATATCTGTGTCATAATCAGTTTTTCAGTATTATAAATTAACTTTCAAATATGGCAACCGTTATATTTGGAAGTGGGGAAGTTACAGTCAGATTAAAGCAATTCTTATTATTCAGAAGGATACTGAATCCCATCCATCCAAATTTACAGTATTAGATATACAGTATGTATATATAATCATGGCATCTCAAAATGCCATGTGTTTCTACTCTTCAGGTAAATAAAACATATTTTCACTGACAAGAACATTTATATAATTTATTTATTGCTGTTGGAAATCAATAAACAACACAGTAATCGAAACATTCATGTTCACATCACCTACCAAACTTAAAACTGCTTTCAAAGAACTAAATTAGCTGGATGAGAACTGGATGACACAGGATTATTTTAACTCAGCAGCATGTCAACCTAAAGTAGGTAATCCATGTTTGAATAGGGCCTTTATCAAAGATGTTCTCTTGTGTATAACTCAGTGACTGACCTGGCACTGGATCATCTTCTGGTCATTTGCAGCACACAACTTTTGCGGCTAGCCCGTTCTCCGAGCCCATCATGGTGAAGCTCCACCATGGGATGACCCAACAAACTGAGGACCCAGAGATGCCGTGGGTGATGGGTCCAGTCCTGGCTGTCATTCTCATCATCGTCATAGTCATTGCTATTCTACTCTTCAAGAGGTGAGTATGACAAAACAGTAGACATGTGTTATGATATAAACTTGTGATTCATGGGGTGAAGCTTTTTAAAGCCACTGTTTTTGCAAACAGGTATGTTTGACTACTTTCATGCAGAGTTGATCCTTGGAACTCTGGATATAAGATAATTGAAAAATAGCAACACACCCTCTTTTTCTATTTCCCAGTTAAATGTGACATGTATACTTGGGTTGAAATTAATCAGAACACTATATTACAATCTTTTCAGGTTGCAGGAAAAAACTGAACACCCTTTTCGCATGTTTACTGATAAACATGTAATCAATAATTGATTTACAGTTATTGTGCCACTTTTTCTACAACAGCACATCTTCCTGTTGTATTTTGGGTTGTCTAACTTTTCCTCTCATTTCAGATTTCCACTTCCTGCCATTGTTTGTTTCCCGCTACTGTGATTGTTGACCCCTGCCCCTAATGTGTTGCACCTGTGTCCAATTGTCTTCCCCCTCCTAGTGTATTTAGTCTGTATGCTTCCTGTCTTCTGTGCCAGTTCGTCTTCGTTCTTTGTAGCAAACGTACAAGTATTCTTTCTGTGTATAGTCTAATGTGTGTATGACCTGTTTTCTTTTTCTTTTTTTTTTATTAAGTGTAATAGGACAAGACAAAGTGATAACATACATACATACATAACATACAATACATACATTGGACAAACTTCCCGGCAAGAGAGTGTTGTGCCTAGGTTGTGTGTGGATACTTGTGTGTGTGTGTTGTGTGGGGGTGTGTTGTGCATGGGTGTGCAGTGGAAATATTGTGATTGTATTATAGGAGCAGGTGTGTAGAATACGAAGATAATAACCAAAGTAATAATAATACTGATGATAATAAATATGATGTAAACAAGTATGATGATGATATATAAATATATTACTGATGATATATAAATATATTAATAATAATAAATATATTAATAATAGTAATGATATAGTTATAATTAAGTAATGACAGTAGTAATCTTAATGATAGAAAGAAGTTAAGTCAAAAAAAAAGAAAAAAGAAAGGAGTAAGTACATAAAATAAAAAAGATATATATATATATATATATATATATATATATATATGTATGTATATTATATATATAAAAAAAAGAATAATTAAATAAATAAAATAAAAATAAAACATATGGGGATTGGGAAGTAATAAATAATATCAATAGTAATAGTAATAATGAAGTAGGATAAGCGAAAGAGAGAGAAAAAAAACTGGATTTAGTAATAAAATTCGATTTATAGGGTGAAGAGATTGGGAAGAAATTGTGTTCCCGTTGCTCCCAGGAACCCGCTGGTGGCAAGCTAACTCACAAAATAACTGGCAAGGGAGGACATTATCGATAGTGGTCGAGGGGGGCCATCATACTTAATTCTAAATAATAACAATAATAATAATAATAATAATAATAATAAGAGGAAAAAAACAAACAAAAAAACAACAAAAACAAAAAACAAAAAACAAAAACAAAAACAAAACAGAACAAAAAAAAAACAACTGGTAATCTGGCTATGATGATTGTTGTAGAATTGACAAAAACAATATTATATAAATAAATAAATAGGTAAATAAAAGTTATAGTAATAATAATAATTAAACAAATACATATATATGTATAATTATCATAATAACAATATAATCCCACATCAGAAAAGTAAGTGATAAGTTTTCTAATAAAATGAAAGGTTAAAAGGTAAAGAGATATAATATATAGTGTATAATTTTTATAGGACTAACCGAGAAAAGAAGAGGAAGGAAGGAGAAGTAGAAGAAGGGCCAAGTCATATTGCCAATGATGATGGTGAAGGGAGGAATGGGGTCTGATTCAGATAATTAGATTGATGGTGGTGAGAGTTGAATGGTGTTAAAGTCCTTTGTTGTAAGAGGAATCAGTTCTGAATGTATTTTAAAAATGGGGACCAGGTTTCTTCATACAGTTTGAGATTATTTTTCAGAGTTGCTGTGAGTTTTTCTAGGTTTGAGTGGTCTGTCAATACGTTGAGCCAGTGTTGAGTAGATACCTTAGTTTTGTCTTTGTCGTTCAGTAGTACGATCTTTTTGGCAATGGTAAGTGTTATTAATATGAATGGTTTATGGTTTTCAGATATGTTTGTTGCAGACAGATTGCCGAGAAGGGCAATAATAGGACTTAATGGGATGTTTGTGCTAAGCATCTCGGATAGCTTATCTAGTACATTTGTCCAGAAGTTTTGGATTGGGGGGCAATACCAGAGGGCGTGGATGTGATTGTCCATTGTAGTTGTGCAGAGTGTGCAGGTGTTGCTTTGTTTGAGACCCATACAGTGGAGTTTGTGGTTGGTTATTTGGGTTCTGTGAAGGATTTTGTACTGTATTAGTTGAGTTTTGGAATTGCCTGTCATGGAATATATGTTGTTACATATTGTTTGCCAGTTGGTGTCGATTGGTATGCTGTTTATGTCTCTCGTCCATTTGTGTATGGGGATTGATATTGTTGAGTCGGTGGATATTAGGAGATTATATATCTGGGACAGCATCTTTTTAGGTTTGAGTGCGTGTAATTTTAGGTAGAGGGGAGAAATGTAGTTATTCATTTCTGTGGTGTTGAAGCATTTATTTATCACATCTCATATCTGGATATATTGAAAGTAGCAACGGTCTGGTAGATTATATTTTGTTTTTATGGAATCGAAGGTTGTGATCCGGCCATCATTGAGTAGCTGTCCCAAGGTCGTGATCCCTCTTGTAATCCAGGTTTGGAAGATGAAGGGTTTATTATTGATCAGAAGCATAGGGTTATTCCATATGGGAGTTTGCGTTGAAAGTGATATTTTGTATTGGAAGATTTTATTTGCTTTCCACCATGGGTTGAGAGTAGTGTTGATTGTGTTGTGTTTGTAGCCAGGGTGGGGCTTTATGGAGTTATCAATGATTGGGAGATTTTTAGTGCCCAGTTCTTGAGTTAGGCTGTTTTCAACATCTAACCATGGTGAGTTTGTGTTTTTTGTCCAGTGGTGGATATACAGCAGTTGTTGTGAAAGGAAGTAGTAATAAAAATTAGGGGCCTTGAGTCCTCCATATTCCTTAAGTTTTTGAAATGTGGATAGTTTTATTCTTGGTTGTTTATTTTTCTAGTAAAATTTGGTGATTGTGCTATTCAGAGAGGAGAACCAGCTTTGGGGTGGGGCTATAGGGATCATGGCAAAGAGGTAATTTATTTTTGGAAGGATTTTCATTTTGACCGTTGAGATGCGTCCGATCAAGGAGAGTGGTAATTTATTCCATCTTTCTAGATTGTCTTTTATTTCTTGTAATAAAGGTGTGTGGTTGAGTTTTAATAATTCATTAGGGTTGGAGGAGATGTGGATTCCAAGATATTTAATTGATTTAACTGTGTGGCTGAGAAGAGGGTGTTGCAGCTGTCTGTCCCACCCACCGATTGGTAAAATCTTGGATTTTGTCTAGTTTATAGAGTAGCCTGATATCTTGCTGTATTTGTCGATTAGATTGTGGATTTCAGGAAGTGAGGATAACGGATTTGTAATGAATAGTAAAATGTCGTCAGCATATAGGCTTATTTTATGGTGGGTGCTTTTTAGTTTTATGCCTGAGATGGCATCGCATTGTCTAATGGAGGCAGCCAGAGGTTCAAGAAAGAGTGCAAACAGAAAGGGTGATAGGGGGCATCCTTGACGAGTGCCTCGTTGTAGTTTGAAGGGTCTTGATATGATTCCATTGGTGATAACGGAAGCCGAGGGGGAACTGTAGAGAGTTTTAATCCAGGTGGTAAAATATGACTGAAATCCGAATTGGTTTAGGGAGGAGAAGAGAAAGGGCCAGTTTACTTTGTCAAAAGCCTTTTCTGCATCGAGGGTTGCTATAATAAAGGGTGTGGTTTTTAGGTGTGTGTTGTTGTTGTAGAGATTTATAAGATTGAATAGTCTTCTGGTGTTTTCTGAAGAGTGTCTCCCTTTTATGAAGCCAGTTTGATCTATGTGGACTAATGAGGGTATTACTGATTCCAGTCTAATGGCTAAAGTTTTGCTGTTGTGGTGATACGAGGGCCCAGAATATTATAATACCAGTTCAATTATAAAATTTGAGAAAGAAACCAACAACGCCACCCTGGGAATTGCACCCAGGGAACTGTAAATTAATATGACTATAAGGAGGAGGCACACAGGTAAGTCATACAAAGAAGGGCAGGAGACGTGGTTCACAGTAGCAAAAAAAATAATTAACACGTTTATTATAGGTTGGTCACACAAGTTAAAGGAAGGGTATTTCAAAACAAAACTAATAATTAATGCCCTACTCCAATAGCTGAAGCTGACCAACGGTGGAGGAAAATGTAGAGGGAGGGGGTCCAAACGAAAGAAAAGGGCACCCCACTCTCACGTGACACGCATACAAAGGTGAAGTGCGAAACAACCAAATCCAAAATCACGGCACACAAAAGGAGACCCACCACCCAGGACACCGACACCACCGTCGGCTCTCAGCAACTATGGAGGGAAGGGAAAACACAATTAATTAACACAAGGCACAATAACACAAACCCCTTATAAAAAAACGTAAACTAACAATTGTCCAAAAAAAACAAAACCAAACAATATTAACAGTCTAGGACTGAAACTCAAAACAAGAAGTAAATAAAGAAAAGAAAGAAATTAACCAATGAACGCAATCCTTCAATTGAAATAAACTAAATGATAAATGACCAACCAATTAGCTCAAAACAATACATTCTTAGAAATTGATATTCATAAACATTCATAAAAATACCCGATCCGGTGCGTTCGGGATCCGCTATAAAAAATTGGACAGGTGAGGTGTTTAACACCTGGGCTAACGGCTATAGTTGGAATTGAACATAAATGTTAAGGTGTCTGTACCTTGTCCGTTAATGTTTATAGCAAACAGGGAGAATCGCCACCATCTCCTCAACCACCAGGGACCACTACACACCCACACAAAGTTAAACAATTCAATGC